ATTCTCTCCTTTGAGAAGAAGATCGAATTCTGGCAAGATTTTATCAAACAGAGACAAGAAGAGTTGGGGACTGAATGCTTTTCACTTTTCTGAAGATATCTCAGACCACTTTTGTTGTTCCTAGTATAAGTTGTATCACCATTGCATGCTTCTCCATCACGCAACTCAACAATGTGTTGGGTTGTCATAATCCCATAAATTAAGGATGGAAACATCAAGTTGAAGGTTCCAGCATTCCTACCAACCTCCAGCACCTGATTAAACACATCCTCACCAAAATCAGTTCGGATTGCCTTTGCCAACTTATACATGGACCGAGTTCGCTTCTGGTTCATGGGAGTCATGTTTGACGTGGGCATCCAATTATGTCCACAGACAATGTACAAAGAAGCAATCCGAGGAAGCATAGCTGGAGTACCAAGTTTGGTACAAGTCATTGCTGGATCATCCGCTAAGAATTGAGCCAACTCGTTCTTGTTGACTTGATCACCTTCTATCTCAGCACGTACCTCAGAGTCATCGAGTGGTTTCAGCTTTAAGAACCTATTGACCACAACAGCGGAAAAGGTGTACTCATACCCTCGCACAAACACTTTAACTTCAGATTCATGAGTCTTAAAACTAGGAAGATGAGCATAAAACTCTCTGATAACGTCCTCCACATAACCATGAAACCCGGAGACATGCATTCCAACCTCACTAATGATCGCTTTCAAATCAAATTCATCATCCTCATCAAATACTACAATTTTTCCGGAATCATGTCTTTTGAAGCCATTAGGTCATACCTTTCCTTGGCTTCCGCGACAGGAAACGTTGTAGTTTTGGCTTAGGAGTTCTGCCAAAACATTGAATTTTCGGATATACATTTTTGTGCACGAAAAGATCAAACATCTAAATAGGCAAGAAGTATAAATTATAGTCTTCATAATTGAAATTTTATACACTTATAGATTAATATTGCTTTAATGCATCAAGTGTAAGGATAAACAACAACTATGTAGTTCGTTTTAAGGTTTGTTTAGAGTTTATCCATCTACGTAGCTTTTGTTGTTTTATCTTTTGTAGTAGTTGCTTTGTTTAATCCTACCTATTCAATGTAATTTTTTTCTAATAGATTTGCTTCTATTCATTCAAAGTTTATGAAGTGYTTGATTGGTGTCTTTAGGCTAAGAAGATTACAATGGTCACCTAGCTTTATGCTTCTTCCATTTCGAAAGATTAATCTCACTAACAACGACATGATAATTATGTAGATTGCTTCTCATACCCAACAGCGCAACAACTTTACTAAAAACACCATCTTAAACCAAGGTGGAATATAATCGTGCGAGTTTTTTCTTCATATATGATATTAATACATGTATACACACACAAAAACTGGTTAGAACTAGAAGATCAATGAGTGGTTTGTTTCAGGTTTTAGCTCCAAGTTCTTATCAACTTTAGTTTAGGATTGGATCCTTATTTCTTTAACTGTCCTACTTATGACGTAATTATTTCTTAAAAATGATAATTCTCTGTCTAATCTTGATGGAGGAGCAATGTTCTTGTAGAGTAGTACTATTATTTAATTCTCAACTCTTTCTAGATGGATCAAATTATTAACGTGAATGAGCTGGCAAACTAGTCTCGTAGCCATTTGAGAAGCAAATGGATATATATACATGAAGATTGTCTCATCAAAATTTTGAACTGAATATATGCATACATATCTATCTCATCACATATATGAAAGCGATGGAGATTAATTTAAGTAATACAGTAGCGTGGACAATCATGTTATATTATTTGTATCAGTAATAAACTATATATTTGACTTTGCAAAATAAACTATTTGTTATATTATTTGTATCAGTAATAAACTATATATTTGACTTTGCAAAATACAACCAGAAGTCTAAAACATTGAACGTAAGAAATAATTAAATATAATTTATGGTAAAAAGTTTTTGAAAAAATAGAATCTAAAGCTATAAGAACATCTCCAATGCTAAGAGACCCAAAGAGTCTATCAAATATATTAGTTTAATAGTTTTAGTTGTTTATTTACATTTAAATAAATTAAAAATATTCAACCAATAAAATATATCCAAATGTCACATGGATATCTAAAAAAAAAGAGTTTCTCATTTGAAAAACCGACTTTCTTCTCTCTTCTACA